CCATAAAAACAGCAAGAAAGAAGTGATTAAACTTTTTTAACTAGAGTCTCCCTGGCTAAAGAAAAAAAAGGGGGAAAGCTTTCTAATCCATCATGTGCCACAGAGACAATTTTCAGGAAGTCAGAAGTGCTACTCAGGCTGTGTTTATTTAAAAAGTCCTGATGTTGTGTTTCCCCATGCCAACAGTTTAATATCACTAACAGTTGATTATTTATGACCCCTCTCCTCGTCTGTGTTCTTAGCTTAATTACTTCAGGGTTATGTGTAATCACTGATGGAGGGGCTGAGACAGCAGACAAAAGGAGGTGGAAGGAAAATGTGAGCGTGAACAAAAGGCTGAGGTGAATTTTAGGTGAAGGAACGACAACAGGAAGAATCGCTGTTAAAAAAGATGCTGTTGTTCTTTCCGACTGCAGTGGATCATGACAAACAGAACCATAATCAGCTCAATGATTTTTATGATGTAGGTGGAGAACACGTCACAGCTGATGGACTCACGTCACATTAAAATAAAAAGTTATTATAACACATCTTTTGGTATGTTCCAGCGCGGCAATCAAGCTGTGCAAATTACCATATAAACAACGTTAATTAATTTTTTATATATGATAATTAAATTCAATAGGGCTGCTCACTTTGATCTATTATACTATATTTACATATACATACCGCAAACACTGCCATCAAGAGACCTGTGTTACTACACTACTGTTATACATAAACAAATGTCACTGGAATATAAATAATCAAATAAAAACCATCAACCCTAAACCAACTATCTGCCTAATATACCTGTTTATGGTCGTATAGTTATTTGTGTTTTTCACTGTTTCTCCTGCCGAGCTCGACTTTCTTTCTTTCCTTCCGTCAACGGATTAGTTCATTGGTGTAGAAGCAAACAGGAAGTCTAAGGAGCTGATCATTGATATAACCATCTGACATTCTGCACCACACTTGTGTACTTTTCTGCCACTCCTGACCAATCAATCCAGTTTCTTATCCAGTATCTCAACTGATTAAAAACCTTCCATAGATAGGAAAAACATATAGGTGGACAAGCACATTAGCGCCCCCAACCCTAATTTATAATCAATGCAAAGCTTCTTGTACTTCTTGCGACAGGTCTGCGGGTAAAGTGTAACTAGTACTTCCTGCTTAGTGACTACACTGGTACAACAATACATGTGCTAATGTGTGTTCGACACCCACACAGCTTGACCACCAGGCTGTGGCAGGAAGCCAGTGGTCAACGTTTTGCCCAGGCATTAAGCTAAACATGTCTCTCCTTGGAGCCCAGTGCTTTAAAACCAATAAACCCACAGCACAGCATAATGAAATGGGCGATTTAGGAGCAGCATAAGCCAGTGGTCTACACTCAGTGAAGAGGAGAGATGCTTTTTCTCCTGACTCAAGTATTTGCAGTCAGGGACTCCAAACTTCTCTGAGTGTCTGCTGAGAAAAGAAGAATAAACAAAACTAAACAACAAAAACTGTGCTGTCTTTTATAACTCCTATCTTTTCTACCTAACAAATTAGCCTCTTTTTCTATTTTGCTCCGATCAGGGTCATGTCTGCTTCTGAGCTTTATTTATTAGTCAAATCCTGAGGTTACTCCATGACATGTTTTTTATATTAATTTTTTTTTTATTTTGACTGCTTGACTACGTCCGTTTCTAATCTTCTCTTTAATCTTTAACTTTACTGAAGTTTACCAAAATACTGAATATAAATTATACTATAATATTATCAAACAGCAGCATCTACTGAGATGTATGTACTTTAACACAGATCTCTATGGGAAAACTGCTGTCAGCTTTTAGGGCTTTTTTTTTTCTTTTGTTTGTTTGTTTTTAAAAGCACTTCACTTCACGCTCACTTCTTGCTCTCTTGGGTAAAATCATTCCACTCCATCGAGTTGTCCTGTCCACTTAGTGAAGATGTCTGCAACATCCCCAGACATCTACAGACCTGCATCTATAGGGTCGGAGTCGGAGCTTCAGCCCAAGTCGGGGAAAACAAAGCAGAAATGATGTCTTTGCTGGTCGGGCACACAAGTAAGAGTTCGTCATGATGGGAGTTTTTTAAGTTCCTAATAAGAAAGAGAAAATCCTAATACATGTGCCGTTGCTCAAAATAGGTTGGAAAACACTGTCTTAAATAGTAAAAAATTAAACACGACAAAAAAAGTCAAACTTTATCCAGTTTGCACTCACAGCACACTCACACTCAGTATGTGATACTTCAGTACAATTCTATTGGATTCTGGAAATCTCAGCCGTGTGACTGGATCCGCACTCCTCGCCTGAGGCCAACTGCTTCACTTATTTTTATTTTTTTAACAAGTTTTGGATTTGGACGAGTTCATCATGAACCAGGTCACTCTCCAACAAAACATTAGACGCAGTTTAATGTAAAATAAATGACATTTTAAAGTCATAAAAAGTCACAAAAATAAGAACTGCTCTAAAGTCCCAGTCCGCCCACACGTCTTCCTAACAAGCCCACTGCAGCCACCACGGAGTGGAGTAATGTTACAGACAGAAAATAAAGGAAACAGTACTAGAGAAACAGTACCATTTAGAAGACGAGACGGCATCTTTACAGGCGACAAAAGACGGTGGTGATTTATAAAACACGCTGTGAAGACTCGCTGATCTGAGGCAGATGTTTCAGGAAAGTAGTCGTCATCTCTAATACTGAAACATGTGGTTGTTGGGAGGTCACCATGTGACCCAGGATTAACCCAGGAGAAAAGTGTTTGAAGATGAATGTTGAATGCGTTCAATCAATTTTTGATTTTTTTTCATGAAATTACACCTGTAGTAAAGTTTTCATTCCTGGAGCCCAGTGGTTCTCAAACTTTTGAACCAGTGGGTTTTTTCAACCCTCACCTGCCTCTGTCGACCCAAAAAAATTCTTGACAAATTACATTTCAAATTGATTTAACTAACACCAGGTAGGATCATATTCCAAAATAAATAAATAAAAGTGCAGTAGTGCCATCATCACTCAAACCTTGAAAATGTCTTCCTGTTTGCTGCACCCCACCTGTCATGTCTCTGGTGCCCACCAGCCCCACACTGAGAGGCACTGCTCTAGTGAACCACTTGCTAGGTCCTGCTTTAGCCCCTTGCAAAATATTACACTGGAGACGTTAATTAAATAAATAGTCCTTCACTACAGTGACAAAACAAACAAACAAAGATGGAGTTAAAAAAATCCCTGCCTGAACTCACTCCTCTGGACCTCTGCAAGTCCCAAAGCCTGAAATGTAAAATGATTAACCTCATCCATGACTGATCATGAAGTGCTGCTCACTGGTGCATGCTGTGTATTGCACCCTGGACTAGTAACCCACTTATAACACTCCACAGTCATTAAGTACAGCAATTGCTTCATCAGCAGTCTGCAGGTAAAAATGATGCCCTTGCTGTTTGCATTGCTTCACACCTCTCTGACTTCGCAACTTCTTCACTGCCTCCAGTTCAAATGTTACATTTTCTCTCAGTGCTCTTTCTGCATTTTAAACATAAAGACAGCCTTATTCTCAGGAGGCTGCTTCCTGTTTACTCTGGATGCATTCATCAAGATGTATAATAATAGTAATGATAACAATTAACCTACAATTAAATATGGGTATGTGTGTGTGTGTGTGTGTGTGTGTGTTGAAGACGTCAACAAACCACAGGCAGAGATGGAGATACCAGGAGGAACACAGACAGAGAAACAAAGAAAGAGGAAAAGACAAAGACAGATCAAGTGAAAATGTGAAAAGAATGACTCCAGGGAGAGAGCTAGTAGAGATGACGTCACTGCAGTCAGTACAGAACCAGAACACACAGAGCAGGTATGTCCTCGTCAACTCACTTTTTAACAGTCAAAGTCAAGGTCATTGTCATTTCAGCAAATAAAATTCAACAGAAACTGTATTTTTTGATCATAGTGAATAAAAAAAAAACCCCAAAACATTTAAACATAGCTATGTAAAGAAACCCCCAAAACATTTAAACATAGCTATGT